TTTGTGTTCGAATATGAAGTACAATATGAGAATTAGATGAAATTTTTTGTAATTTAAATTTATTTTTGACTCAGTAATAGAATGTAGAAGTATATAATTTAGTATTTGCGGGGTCAAGAAGAACTTTCTTGATTTTTTGTAATTTTTCTTGATTTATCAAGGCCTTTTCTTTTTTGTTCAGTACTAAATTATCAATATATTTTTTGACTAAATCGTCAAAAGCTTGTCGCAAAATAAATGAATATTCCATAATATGTATTTAATTTGGTCAGAATACGTAAAAAAATTAAAGAGATTTAATCAAGATAGTTTTATTAATTTTATTTAATATATACGATGATACATCGATATATTATGATACGTATTTTAGTATGACGCATAAATGATAAACTTGAGCAGATTTTGAAAATTTTGTGATATTTTCGAATAAGATCTACCAATCAGATAAATAAACATTATGATTATTTCAGATTTGTATTACACTGAATCCACGTTTATTGGTTGATATATTTGAACAATAGCTACAATAGTAAAAGTGTTGATTCTTTTTATGAGGCCCCAGAGTTTGTTTTTTAATATTGTGGCTTGAAAAACTCGTATTTATGTTCAACAAGACCCGATATTCAAAGATTCCACCAAGATCCCGGAATAAACATAATTTTTACTAGCAACAATGCCAAAGGGTTCACAACGTAAAAATATAGGTCTATATGCAATATGTGGCAAGGATGATCTTGAAGAAAAGTTTCGCAAATTGATGGCAAAACTTTTGTCTAAGGCTGTTCAAAGTGAAGCTGCTTCAAGATTAAAGATACAACTTAAATTAGATGACCAGTTATATCAGAAGCATTATAATAAGCTAGTAGTATTTGATAGAAACCTTTCAAGCTCATTTAAAAGAAGGAAATTTGAGTCAAACTTAGCTTATAATGTCTAACAAATACATACTGAAGTAGATTCTAATAAACAATTCAATATTGGTAATTGTTACCAAGATGGTATGGACGCTTATAATGATGAAAATAGGGCATTTGAAGGTTACTTAAAATCTTTTGGACGTAGAAATTCTGATCGAAAATTAGTTGTTGGGAAGTGCTACCAAAATGGCATAGGCCTTCCTAAAGATGAAAAAAAAGCATTTGAATGGTATATGAAATCTGCTAGTGATAGAAATTTAGATGGACAATTATATGTTGGAAATTTTTATCAAAATGGCATAGACATCTCTAAAGATGAGAAGAAAGCATTTGAATAGTACTTAAAATCTGCTAGTGGTAGAAATTTAGATAGGCAATTAAATATTGGACATTGTTATCGAAACAGCATAGGCATTCCTAAAGATGAAAAAAAAGCATTTGAATGATATATGAAATCTGCTAGTGGCAGAAATTTAGATGGGTAATTAAATATTGGACATTGTTATCGAGATGGTATAGGTATTCCTAAGGATGAAAAGAAAGCATTCGAATGGTACTTGAAATCTGTTAATAGCAGAAATTTGAACGGCAATTATATGTTGAAGATTGTTACCAATATGGCATAGGCACTTTTAAAGATGAAAAAAAAGCATCTGAGTGGTATTTGAAATCTGCTAATAGCAGGAATTCAGATAGGCAATTAGGTTTTTACTGAAGTAGCATAAATCCTAGTAAAAAGTGGCCTTTTTTGGATATACAATCAATAAGAGGACAAAACTATTGTCTTTCTGCTTTCGGAAAAGATTCTGAAAAAGAACTTTCAGAATTATTCATACGATATCAGTTGATTATGGAAAACGAACAGCCCATTTTTCATGTGCATAACATTCAATTAATGAATTTTAACCAAGAAATTATTAATTTAAAATACCAGCCATTCAATAAAAAAGTAGAAAATTCCAAATTAGATGCCATTGTTCGGACGTGTGACGAATCTCTGTTATCCCGAAATGGTTATCATAGATTGGCAGCTGTAGAACCCCAGCTTATTCGCGAACACCACGTTGCTGAACGAAGGATAGAGATCACAGATATAATGAATAGAGCAATCAATATTAAAACTTTTAGTCTTGATCATCAACCCTGTATTCAAGATAAAACAGTATTTGATCAATATGAAACTGAAGATGGTGCCTATAGATCAATTAGATCTATCTTAACTATTCTTCTTCCTATTTGGAAGCAATCGACTCCACCCGTACTTATCCTAGAAGATACTATTAAACTCAAACTTGGTGGTGACGGTCATAACGTTGGCCAAAAGCAAAACCACGTAATGATGACCTAATGTCTTTTAAATGAAGATAAAAAAGTCTTACAGCCTAACAATCAATATTGGTAAGTTTTATATTTTATGATTTTAACTACGAATTTTTCTAAATATATGGTTTACAAAGTATATAATATTTAATTATCAATATTAATTAATTTAATTACTTTTATTTTAAGCATTTGCTTGTACGCTGGATATAAAAAGTATGAAGTGCCGACAAATATCAGCCATATATTTAAAGATGAGCTCTCCGACCTTAAGAATAATGGTTTTTTTGATAGTGATGAAGTTTGTTGGCTCGTTGAATTATTTTTCTGTGGAGACTGGAAGTTCATGTACATAGTAATAGGTTTAAATGCCCCAAATGCTAATTATTTCTGCCTATATTGTAATTGCGATATTGAATCGCGATGGGATATAGATTAGATTTGGGAAAATACTAGAAAGTCTAAATATAAATAAATTACTATTTTTTAAAGCATAATATTAAACTAATTTTGACAGGGCATAAGATCGAATATGATACTCAAACAAAAGTTGGTTGAAATTGATATTCGTAGCACTGGTATTAATTTTTTAATAAAAATCATATAACAGTAAAATTAATCTTATGCTCTAGTGTTTTTGTATAAGACTTATTAATTTTAAATTTAATATTTAATTAGGTAAAAAAAAGCCACCTCTATTTTCTGCGATTGATCAGGAAAATTACATTTCTGATGAATTGCACCTATTGTTACGTATATCAGACGTTTTAATGAAATGTTTGTTTTAACAATTTAATCAAAAAAAAAGAATTTGAAAAACAAATTAAGCCAGTGATTGAAGCAGCATTTAAAGAACTTTCAATTCAATTTGAATTTTTTAAATCTGTAGGTAACAAATGGAATTGGACTTCATTGATGGGTCCGGATAAAAAAAAAATGCTAAAAAATTTTTCAGTATCATGATTTATTTTTGGTGTATGAGAAGAAGATATTGAATGATTGTGGCGCAAATTTTATAGATTATATAGTATTATATAACAACTACAGCTTTCAGATCAAGAAATTGATCAATATAAAGTTGATACAGAAAACTAGATTCGAACCTTTTGTTGTCCATCTCAAGGTGATGTAAATTCTTTACAAAAATATGGCCTCTATCAAAAGTCAGACGTCACACCATATATGCACATATTTGCAAAGCATATTTCATTATTTATGCATCAATTAAAGACGAAAGATCTTTCTTTGCGAATTTGTTCTATCTCGGGCATAGAAAAAAAAACTATAAGCAGGTAAATAAACTTAAAATAAAATAGGCTAGATGTTGAGAAAGGGTCGAAATTGACAATTTTAAACAAAATTTTTTTGTGCTTAGATTCTAAATTAGTCTAAAAATATTTTTTGTTAATTTCGATTCTTTTCTTAGCACCAAGCCCAAATTATTTTTAGATATTTAATAAATTTGCTATTAGGTTCGGTTGTTTTTTGGAGGTACAACTATAGGAGGAGGATACAAAAAAAAGTCTGTCATTTACAATATGATATTATATGAAAATCGGCAGCTTTTTTATTTAATGAACAATACTTCTACAAAAATCATTTTTTGAAATGTTTATATTAATAATAATAAGAAAAATTTATTAAATTAAAATAAATGCCCTTTTCGTATATTAAGACTTTATCTGATATATAATTTGATAATTTGACATGTGATTTTTTGTATACTATATAATTTATATACTATTACATATCAATTTAACTAATATTTTAATTATTTAGTATTTGGAAAAACAAAAAATCGCAGATTTTGGGCTATCAAAGTAGATAAATGAAGCACCTATAATATCAAACTCAATTGCTTATAAGAATACTGGTATATATTGAGTTTTTTCAATTTTTATAGATTTAGAACTTCCATAGCTTTGAAGAAATTCTTTAAGAAATTTCAAATAGAAGACTACTATTTCAAGCTTTGAATTAAAATCATTTATACTATGAAAAAAAAAGGCAATAAAAGGTACACAATCTCAATATTCTGAACTTTACAGTATTGTAATTAGAGATGTACCTTGCACGAAATAATCTTAACATTTATTCACACAACTTACGCAAGATTATATTGTGCAACTTTGCATGTGGTGTGTTTAATTTTTAGTATAGAATGAGGAGTTCTAGAGGACTGGTTGGCATTTCTGTTGATGGAGGTATGTATGAAGGAATTTCTAAGATTAATATTTTGGCAGAACTAGTAGTATCTATTTTTTTTAATTCCTTGGGGTGATGACGCATCTGTGGGTAAATTTTCTCCTTGGCTTGGGCTAGTTTCTGCCTCTTTTTGTTCGGTAATATCTGCACTTGTTTCGGCCCTTGAACTTGCCTTTTCTAATTGTTGGTTTATTTCCTTCTCATATGTTAAGGTATATGAAGTTGTATGTGTGATTTAAATAGTCTGATTATATCTGACCATCTATATAGCAGTTTAACCCTTTAAATTATATGATATCCTTAATTATATTATATATTATTTAATTTTCGCCATGATTAAAATTACTTTTAAGCAATATTTTCATATTTGACTTAAATAATTAAGAATTTCGGGGGGTTTTTTTATTTGAATTGTTAAATAATACATGTTTACTTTATTCAAATAATTAAAATAAAAATTATTTTATAATTAAAAAAACCTTCTAACGAATAACAATTTAAATGATAAAGTTTTTGCAGATTTTGTGCCTCACACAAGGTACATCTTAGATAGGCTTTTCAGGAGCACTACACTAATTTCTTTCAATCTTTGTCATAATTAACTCGAATCGAAAAAAGAAAAAGTGTCTGCCGCTTTGCAAAAACACCACTCTAAAGATTTAAAAGCATTAGCAGATCATTTTGCAAGAACACTATATGGATTTTGAATTTTAATAGCAATTATCTTGGCTCTAAATGCATTAGTACCAGTGCATCAACCATTAAGTAACCTAATCATAGAAATGATTCATGTATCAATTGTTAAATCGCTTAATGATCTAATCATAGAAATGATTAATTTTGCGAGGAAATAATATTCCCTTAGTTATTAATAAAAATAATGATAAAGTAATTATTTTTATAAAATAAAAACTTAATAATCAAATAATTATTATGAGATATTTATGAGGTAATTTTATTAAATATTATTTATTATAATAATTATATCATTCGTATATCGATCTTTAAAATTTTTTTAAATATAAAACCTATTCTTTTATAGTTAAAAATGTAATTTAAACCTATATTAGTCACATAATATATATAACAAATCAGGGTAAGTTTTAAGCATTACAATAGTGAATGCTAACATACATAATATTAAGCCCGTGGGTACCGATGGGCAGTGTTGTCACGAGACAGTTGTGGACAGTAAGTTTGGACACTTTGGACAATTTTGAACAATTAAATAAATTAAAATTACTCAAAATTTTATTAAGATAACCTATATTAATTTCTAAGTAAAATATGTTCAGCATATAAAAAAATATATAATTATATATTTTTTAAACAAATTTATTAATTATTAAAGCTTGAATATGCTCTGGACACTTGTGGACACTTGGACACTTGGACGTTGGACAGTACCAAAAAGCCTTTGGACAGTCAAAATGTACAACACTGCCGATGGGTACTCACGGGCTTTAAAGACCAGGCTAGGATATCAATTTTGGGGCCCTTGGGTAAGGGCTTGGAGATTAAGCCCGTTAATAAATGGGTAGTGCTAGTACTCAGTCCATGCAGAGGCCTAGTTATATTTATCCTTCTCATATTAGCAAACTTCTGAAAATAAGAAATAATCCTTTTTTATTTGATATTCTATAATTTTATATAAAAAAAAATATCTATCTATATACTACTTTTTTTTCAATTGATTATATTGACTATATCAACTGCTGATTGTATTAGGCCATGCGAATCAAATTTTAAAAATTTTATGTATGAAAAATTAAAAAAAAAAAAAGCTAGCTAGCCAGCTGGGTCTGTTCAAAAGTTTTATATTATAAAACCAGAATATTAAATTCGTATAGTCTTATTGTATTAGAATCAAAACTGAATAATAATTATTATATTTGTCTAAATATTAAATATATTTACCTCTAGTGATTTATTTGTTGGAAAGGAGCACGGGGCAAAATAAATCTATAACTTCTTTGAATATGATCAGAAGAATTTTTGCTTAAATCAACTTTATGGACTTTTGGTGGATTTGGTGCATTCGGTTGGGCTACAGCAGGTCTTATAAAATAAAATAAAAAATTTAAAATTAAATAAAATACTATGTAAATTATAATCTGAAAGCATTTTGCTAATAGATCTCAATTCTTACTGTTCAGAAAATTCTCCCGAGTCTGCTACAAATTTACAAATAGCAGTCCCACATTGAAAAATATGATGATTCTCTTTTAACTCTGATTGTGACTAACTAAAGGTAACTTCATAGGAGCTCTTATTATCCATAAACAAAACGTAACCTTTAGTCTTTAATTTCAGGTCTTGTCGAATATTCTAATAGTCGTAATTGACCAATTGCTTCAACCTCTGTTCATCAGCTTCACCCTGAAATGAACAAGAATATTTTCATTGCACAAAACTATACTGGAAAGAAGACTCACTCTCAAAAAGGTAAACAAATATATTTTCTGGAAAGGCATTAATTGAAACTTGTTTTGCGCCTATTGAATGTCTATTAAAACCAAGACGTTTTTTTATAAGAACTATAAATGCATCCTGATAAAATGTGATTTGTTCAAGAGGAGGTTGGATAAGTAAATAACGGTGAGGTATAATTTTGTTATTCCGATGCTTAACTCTCTTATGAATCACAAGTTTTTACGTGAAGAAAAAATTTCTTTACAAAGTTGGCATTTATTAGCCATTAAGTTCTATCAAATATGATTACGTGTTTTTTATTATGATTATTCAAAAATTTTTTATTAGTTAATCTATTTTTAGATATCACGAATATGATCTTCAAATTCATGTGACATATTCGAATTTCCAAAATCTGCCTATATGTATATTTTTGTATAATAATGCTAATAAGCATTATTTCAAAAATCGTATAACTTGAAATAATATACATGGCTTTGAAATGATGCTTATACTCATCTTTAAATAACATGCATGTTTGGATCAGTGTATATGAGCCAATTGTAAATATCTTTAAATATCGAACGATAAGCCTTTAACTCAAAATATCGCATATGTGTGTACTTGAAATATTCAAAATAATGCGCAGATAGGCATTATTATACAAAGATACGGTAGTATGCACCTAAAACTGGCTTTTGGGTAGGTTTTGTTTGAATATATAACTGACAAATATATATATAATCAACATTAATCAAGATTAATTGATTTTCTAATGATACGTATTAATTATAAATATGCATGTACGTAAGAAGACTTGATCAGATTATATTTTTTTTAACTTTTTTAACATGTATATATATCTTAACAAACTTGTAAATTAAATACCAAAAATAAAATAAAAAAAAATGCCAAAGCCAAATAAATGTACAAGACAAGCTTGACAAGCTACTACCATGAAATAGAAAAATAAATCGTCAGTTAAATCAACCAATACTGCTTCCAACAAAAGTTATGAATCTATGACACTAATCCCATCAACAAAAATTGGCCTACAGTATCGAAATTTGCTTCTTCATCACATAAAACTCTTGACAGTAGTATTAATGATGATAATTCTATATTATCATCACTAGATGCACAATTGAAAACAAAAACTGTTGATATAAATCTCAATACAACAAGACAATTTCTTTGTCTTGTGAATGAAGGGTATACAAAGATGAAGGCAAGTGAACTTCTGGCTAAGAGTTTGGGTAAAAGCCCATGGTATGCTTGGCATATTTGTATCTGAGCAAATCAATTGAAGAATAACAAAGAATTAACAAAGTCAAACCATGATAAATATGTAAAAACCAAATTGTTAATTCATAATAAAAGTTTTCGACATCAAATAAATCAGTATTTGGAGGAAAATAAATTTAAATTATCTATTTCAAATTTTATAAGTTATATTAGTTATATTATACCTGCTTTTGGAGTCATAAATAAAACTATTAGCAGGTCAACTGCATATAGATGGCTAAAATTGCTTGGATAGAGATATCAAACCTATACAAAAAAGATTTATTTTGATAGCTATGAATGTGAATATGTGGTAGAGTACAGAAATGATTTTTTGCAGGAAATAGCTAGGTTATGAAAATGAATAGCCAAATATAAAGGTAAAAAATTAAACCGTATCTTGTTAAATCTTCTTTCTGGTGAGGCTAAAATTGTTTCTATCACCCAAGATGAAACCACTCTTTATACAAATAATGGTGTGAAACAATATTGAAGCCCAAAAGGTGAATATGGCCTACAGAAAAAATCATTAATAAGAATCAGAATTAACTAACATTTTTAGTCAGCTAATCAGCTAACTAAAATTTTTAATTATTAATTAAAATATTACGTATCAATCAGCTATAATCCCTGATCACTATACCAATATTACTGGGATTAATGAATAATATCCTAAACTATATATGAATAAGCAGAATCTTTGTTTCCGCTAATCCCAATAGACCAGGTTATTGTGCAAACTCTTATAATTATAGATTTTTTTCTTCTTGTAATTTTTTGTACGTTATTTCATAAGCACAACAATTCCAAATTAAAACTCAGTTAGCTAACCACGACTCATAAATCATGATCATAATTGCATGATAATATATTGGATCATGCGATGATAAATATCACAAAATTTGTTTTGTCAGAGCAAATAATTGGATAAAATGTGTTACTACATGGTACATATCAGCCAATCATTTGCTCTGACAAAACAAATTTCATGATATTAATCATTGCATAGCCAATATCTTATACATATTATTATTTCTAATATTTTAGTAAGTTGGCTAAAAACATTTTTTTGACTAATTTTTGATTTCTATCTTTAATCACAGGGCTCCAGTATTCATATTAGTGATTTTGTCTGTGAATCTATTGGGCGTCTCAAACTTTCAAACTATGAAATTGGTATAAATAACTTACTTCCTGATTCTATGCATCTCAAATATACCAAAGCAGGTATTGCTATCTATTCAGGCATAAATCGTGATGGTTGGTGGACATGCGATAATTTAGTTAATCAGGTAATTGAATGTGCTATACCAATATTTGAATGAACACACTCCAACAAGATAGCTCTATTTATGTTTGATAATAGTAGCAATTATGGTTTATTTGCTGAAGATGCCCTTTTGGTCTCACAAATGGATATAAAAGATGGTACAAAAAAACTACTTCTTTATGATGATACAATGTCTGATGGTTCCAAGCATATAATGATCTATATAGACAATGCTAATGTAAAAAGGTCTAAGAGAATTAAACAGGTTCTTGAAGAAAGAGGTTTGTGGATACCAGGCCTTATAAAAAAGTGTGATATATGTAAAAAAAATAAGCCTGATCCAAACAACCCAAACTGTTGTGCTTCATATATTCTTTCAGCTTAACCTGACTTTGCAGCTCAAAGATCATGCATATTAAATAAGTTTTTTTTTGCTAAAAAAAAAAAAATTTAAAAACCATTACTTACATATATATAAATAATTTAGGTAATTGAAGATGCTGAACACATGTGCATCTTTTACCCTAAGTTCCATTGTGAACTTAATTATATTGAGTCCGTTTGGGCTGAGGTAAAATGTTATGCAAGATTTTACTGTGATTATAGTTTTAAAAGCCTCAAAAAAACTGTTCTAATGGCATTAGATTTTGTTAGTTTATTAAAAATTCACTGCTTTGCTTGCCGTTCTGAACAATTTATGAGTGCTTATGAACTTGGACTTTCTGGAAAGGCTGCTGACTTTGCAGTAAAGAAGTATCATTCTCATTGTCGAATTTCAAAACAAGTTCTTGAAGAATTCACTTATGATTAAAAGTATATATGTATGAACTATATGTGTAAATAAAAGTTGTAAAGTAATACTTTAAAGTGTATATGTATTTCAATAAACTGTGATTTTAAAAGCAAAAAAAAGTTAGGGTTAGATTTTACGCATAAAGTAAAATCGTTCAAGGAAAAAGTATCAATGATCGTATACATACAAAATTCTGAAATCTGATTTGTGCAAAATATCTGCACCACAAGATCTAATTTTAATGAAATTTCGATCCTAACCTAAGACTACAAAATTAATTTTTCTTTTTACATTACCTGCTGACCCAACTTTTTAAAATTCAATTTTTTTTACAATAACAATGAATTCAATTTAAAAAAAAAATTTACTTAATCAAAATATAAAGACATATAATAATTACTAATTCAGAAAGTTAGAGTAGTATCAGAACATAACCAAGATACCAAATTTCAATATCATCCATCTCAGTACTATCTCAGTAACATTCTCGACTTCAGACATTGTTCTGCATTTAATTTTTTGGGCCAGACCATGACTAGAGGATCTATTAGAACAAGAAAAAACAAGATTCATATGAATACTAACCAACACTCTTTATCATTTTTATTTTCCTTTCTACTATTATTCATTCTATATATGATGATCTCATTACTATTATTATTGAATTCAATATCGTCTTTATTGGTAAGTTTGATAATAACTAGATGTCTTATGCTTATTTATTTCAGCTCCAATTCCATTCTCATACAAAATCTAATTTAAAATTATATTATCTCTTCAAATTGTCATCTTCGACAAATTAAATACTATTCAAATAATTACGTAGCATCTACATTCACCAGACTTTTGATAAAAATCAGATATACCATACTTGTTTGTTTTAACTCTTACGTATTTGATGACATTCATCAAAACTATATATTCTATTTCAGCTTCACATGATCAATTTTGTGACTACAACTATTTTATAATACGTAAGCTAAAGGTGAGTATATTATATATTAATGTTAAGATCATAAGGTTTATGCTATGTACCAAATCTAACTTGCACATACTTTCATATAAATAACTTGTTTATACAGCAGTGTATACGTGATTTAAGAAAATTCACATAGTAAATATGGAAGTAAGATTCATACGTAGAACAGAATTACATACATACGTATTAGTTATAATAGATAAGCACTTTAAAAGAAACAAAATTCTAGATTTTGAATTGTATCCAAATATATACAAACAAAAAGTTGTCACTCTTTATTATTTTTGTAATTTTTTTATATAAGCTACACCTTGTACTTAATAGCTACACAAAATATTTTTATCTATTAACATGGCTTATTTAGTTTTTTTTTTAGATCTATATAGGAGGATTCGACCTTTGTTAAGAGTTTGGCTTTTGCCAGAAGTTTTGCTTTTCATTAGAGTTTTCGTCTTTTATCATTTGCACAAAATAGCTTCATCTAACAACTACAGTATGATTGTTTCAGTGTCAAATCAAGTCTTGTTATGCAACAGAAAATGTGCTAAAATGCTTTTAACAAAAAGGGATATCTATTTGATACGTATATGATACATATAACCTATAAAATAATTTTGAAATTTTTTAAATTTTTTTTTTTTTACAAAAAAATAGCAAATACAGAATGAGAAGTTGTCCATATTGTAGTAGAACATAATATCTATATTTTAGAAAGAATCCTTGAATGGGATATAATAATGGTATTGAGAAGCATGGGCTTTAGGAGAGTCGACGCTTTAACAGGGTGGATATAGAATTTGTATATACAAGGTGAGTTTTCTTATTGATTATTTGTCAAGTCAGTATATCTAAAATTACGCTGCCTTATCTGTGTAATGAAATCTGATAGAGAATTGAAAGCTCATTGTAGTGACTATTTTGATAGTAAACGTTCTTCTCTATCAGTTATGGATATTCCTGTAGTTATAATTGGCACTCTCTGCATTAGAGAGGCACTTTCTGTATATATTGGGAAGTATTCTGCTGAGAAGTTGGTGAATAGGATATACTCTGACATTGAAGCACTATGCATCTTGTTAGTTGATGATGATGACAAATATTCATGATTTATTATTTATTCTATAGTGGACCTGGTGACAGAGATAGAGATATTTTATGTCGAATCGCCAGGATCACTATTGTGATTCAATACAAAAACTATAGCTATTGATATTCAATACGTAATTTAATTAGTATTTTTGTTACTATATTACATATAAATATTATATTAATAAATTAAAATCTTTTAATTTAAATTTTTTTAGGTCGAGAGGTCA